GCACCCCACACTTAAGGAATACATTACGGCGACGCTAGCAACTTTGTTCTTAGGTCGGAATAAATTGAGATCCCCCCTAAATGAAAAAAAATCACTGTGTGTGACATCCTGTCACCCGTCTTGAACCATCGCCGCTGCTGACCCCCAAACCCCACCGTACAGTCTGAACAGGAAAGCCGCGAAGAAAGCCACGGCGATGGGTAAAAACACCGTTGGCGGCGGTAGCGGTGCCGGCAGCGGCGGCAGTGGCAGCGGCGGTAACGGCGGCGGCAGCGGCGGCGGTGGGAGCGGCGGTAACGGCGGCGGCAGCGGCGGCGGTGGCAGCGGCGGTAACGGCGGCGGTGGCGGCGGCAGCGGCAGCTGCGGCGGCAGCGGATCCACCGCCAAGCCCCACGGCACCCTCAGCTACGGCTTCCCTGGGAAGCCCTTTGGCCGCCTGCACCCGCTGCAGGTGCTGGGCACTGTATGTGGCAGCAGCCGCTCGATCAAGCCGGTGAAGGACTCGATATTGCATTGGAACCAGGACCGCGTGCTCACACCACGGGAGCGGGCATGTGTGCAGGTGGGCGGGAGGCCTGGACGTGTGTGCGTGTGTGCGTGTGCGTGCGTGGATGGCGTGGTGTGGATGTGGATGTGGATGTGCAGGTGCGGGGGGTAGCTTGTCCTGGTCCCCAGCCTTATCATTCACCCCTGCGCTCTTCTCCCTTCCCTCCCGCTGCCCTTGCCCCTCTTCCCCCCCCCATGGCAGCAGCTTCAATCGTGTGTGGTTCGTCTTCCCCCCCCTATGACATCCTCCCCCTCCCCCCCTGATTCCATTCCCTCACTTTTGAGGTCCCCCGCGCCCGCCGTCGCGTGCCCCCTTGTCGAATCCTTGGCAGTTTTGGCTCCGACACCTCCGGGCAGCGTTCCCCTTGGTCCCCTTCCTCGCGGTTTTCCTGCTTGTCGCCGCGCGCCACACGCCTGCTGACATACATACGCTTTTTGTTATTCACACATGAAGAGCACCCACCCCTGTCCCGCCGTTTCCATGTCCTGTATCCCATATGTCGCCCGTATGTATGTCCTGTGGAACCCCCTCCCTTGTCGCACCCTCTTAGTACCTCTTAGGTGCTTTGCACGTCGTGGTGAGTAATGTCGTACTTACTGCGCTCCCTTCGCCCTACGTGGGGTATCTTACCCCGTCTCACCCCATGTGATCGTGCGGTACCAATGGTTATGTACGTACATACATACAGGGCTACAGCCTCCACATGGTGTTCCTGTCCACCGAGTCCCCCTTTCTGGGGCACCTCCGAAACCACAGCGGCCTCGTTTCCCGCTCCGAAGCCCTCGTCAAGCCCGCCATTCGGGGACTGGAGTGGCTGCTTCACGTAGGGCCGGCCGCACTGCAGGGCAAGGACGGGAACCAGGCGCCTGCAGTCGCGCCACCTGCAGCAGCGGAAAGGGGGGCAGCAGGAGCGCCGGCGATGGCGGCGGCGGCGGCGGCGGGAGGATCAGCAGCTGCCTCCGCAGCGGTGGCCGCCGGTGTGCGTGGTGGTGAAGCTGGCGATCTGGGCGGGCTGCACTGGCCGGCTAGACTCAAGACGGCCTGGTACATGCTGCGCCGGGTGGCGGCGGATGCGTATACCCAGGTAGGGCAGGGCAGGGCAGGGCAGGGCAGGGCAGGGCAGGGCAGGGCAGGGCAGGGCAGGGCAGGGCAGGGCAGGGCAGGGCAGGGCAGGGCAGGGCAGGGCAGGGCAGGGCAGGGCAGGGCAGGGCAGGGCAGGGCAGGGCAGGGCAGGGCAGGGCAGGGCAGGGCAGGGCACCCGGAACCCCCACATATATGTATTCTAAACAAATGGTCCAGATGTTGAATAACATCTGTCCCTTCGTGCGTTCCCTTCCCTCCCCTCTCCACACACCCCCCTCTTCCACCCCCGCCGTCGCCGCCGCAGATCGGCAACAGCTGGCCGCCGCCTGTGGCTCAGGCGATGGGGCGCTGCATGGCGCTGGCGCTGTGTGGGTTGGTGCCGCCTGGCGGGGTGGCTCGAGTGCCCGACCCCGCTTGGGAAGCGGCGTGGAAGTGGGCCAACGGTACTGCGGGGGGTGCAGGTGCGGGCGCGGGCGCGGACCAGCCGCAGGGTGAGCAGCAAGGGGTGGTGGTGCGGTGTGCACAGGCGGCGCTGCAGAGCCGTGAGGGGCTGTGGCTGGCGGGCCCCGAGGAGGTGGACGAGGAGGAGGTGGCGGTGGAGGAGGAGGAGGAGGGAGAGGAGCAGGAGGAGGAGGAGCAGGAGGAGGAGGAATGGGGTGACGACGACGAGGTAGATGTCATGGAGGAGGAGGTGGCGGTGGTGGAGGTCACGCTGGTCGCGGGGGAGCAGGGTGGGTATGAACCCACGGGGGTTGGTGACAGGGAGGTCCTGGACCTCGTTACTGACGACGACGTGGACGCGGAGGAGGAGGAGGAGGAGGTGGGGGGTAGTGAGTAGAAGGTGGATCTGAAGAAGCAGTGACCTTTGGGTAGGGGTGAGCATGTGTGGAGGGAGATTGGGGAGAGGGGGGGTCTCTATCTAGGAAGCGGCGGTGGCCGCGGTGGCGGCGGTCCCGAGCTTCACCTTAATCGGTGTGTTGGCGTTCGGCGGTGGCGGCGGCGGTGGCGGCCGCACCCCACAGCGACCGCACACTGCGTTCGGAAGGCGCAGAGCATTGCATATCGGCGTACTATGGGCGTAGAGCACACGCCGACTGCGCTCAACCACCTGTTGGGAGTGGTGGTTTGCTTGCTTGGTTAGTTAAACATGCTGCAGCGCATTGGCTACTCGGCCTCAGGTGCGAGGCTAAAGACAGTCTGCACCGGGCCGGATACAGCTGGAGCAGAGCGTGCGGGGAACGCGGTGGAGCTTTCCTGTTTTTAGCTTACTTCCTATGCAAGGTCCTGATTTCGTGGAAGGTAGACGGAGGACGCTAGACGAAGAAGTGCAGCGAGCGCCAATTGCGTCGTGCACAACACATACACCCAAGTGCAGGGCTACTGAGCAGGAGGCTCCCGGGGAACCATGCGGATATCACATTAGGTGACTAGCTAGGTGCAGGACCTAAAAAATAATAATGATGCAACACTGCTCTCGTGGGTTGAATGACAGGTTGATTAGGTAGACGTGATTGGATGGTGGAGTAGTTGCGGTGTTGTGGTGTCCGCATCACCAATGAAGGCAGGGCGCCAACCCCCCCTCCAAATTTAAAGTCTGCTGCTGTGAGAGGTCGAGCGAGCGGTGGCATCACAGCGAATATGCGCCCCCTTGCCCATAGTGGATGTGATGTGATGTGGGGGCTAGGCAGGTCACACCTCGAAAACCAATTGATGGACGGCATACAATTACTTACTGCCAACGCTAACATGTATTTTTGCATAGATGAGAGCTAGTTGTTGCTTGTGTTCCGCACCTCAACACGCACCGCAACATCCCACTTTTACGCGCAAGTTGGCCGCACCGCATTGTCCACATCAATGGCATAAACATTCATTCATTATCCGATCAGGATTCGGGATTGTTAGCACTGACTCACGCACTGACTCACTCAGCACAAGTGCACAAGTGCGTGGCCCGTCCGGAGTCATGTATGGCTTGGGGCTCCTGCAGGGGGCAGCAGTTAGTCGTTTGATGGATTGCTGCGCAGGTGTTTGGGGGTTGAGGCGGTGGAAGGATGAACCATGTGGGCGCACTTGTTCGGTGTGGCAAGCAGGGAATGAAGAGATAGACACGTCATATCTATGAAGGGGAGGTGGTGGGGGAAGAGGAGTATTCGTGGATTCTGACAAGGCTATGGTTGTGTACCGTCCTCTGGTGCAAATAATGACGAAAACAAGGAGGGGTCGAGGATACATAAACAATTGGAACTTATTACTCTCGCTCGGACACATGGTTATCCTTGTTTGTGTAGTAGGATGAATGTGGGTCTTTGTGCTCTCGCTCCGAACACCTCAAAAGCTGGCTGGCGGGTGATCCTTCCTACCTTGAGGCAGCGTGCCTATGTAACGCGAGAACGCCACTACTGCTGTCAATGCTGTCACTGATGTTGCCACGTGTTTATTCGGCTCGAAGATGCAGCCAACGGTCGAAACAACTCCTTATCGCAGTGCAGTGATGGACAACGAACCGCAGACGTGTGTAAGGTGTTCCGACGGATGCAAGAGGTGTGCTAGGGAGACATAGGACTATGACTTAGGCGCACTCCAGTAGCTAGTAGGACAGAAACGTGTGACACCTAGTGTAGGATTGAGAAGTTGCGGGACAGATCACGCATTGCTTGGTAATACAGCCATGAGGAGATGCATAAACATTTACCCGCGGCAAGGTTTGACTTGACTCCTCTTGAAGACACTCCTGGACACGGCGGCCTGGCCACCGACTGCAGGCTAGCTGTGATTGACACACGTCCGCGTATTCCTGGTTTCGTTTTGACGGTTTTGCAGTTTTGCTGTGACGCCGGAACGGGTGAAAGTAAAACTAGTGTGTGGTGTAGACGTAGCGCCATGCACGTATGTATATGTCTTTTGATTAATTGAGACGTGAGATGGCGAGGATGGCATGCGAGCAATATAACCGAAAGAAGCAATCCGCGATGAAGTGGTGGCAAGGGATTGAAACTGCGGAAGTTGATCATGGTGACAGGGAAGAGCTTGACGCCGGCAGAGCACAATGAAGTGGCGGACGCTGTTGTGGGTGGCTAGGGCCACCCCAGGATCTGAGTTTCGACGAAACCACTCCAGACGGGACCTACTGCCCTGGCCAGGCTGGGGAACGAATCCAGAGGCCATGAAACAACCGCACGTGCACGTGTGTGTGAATGATGCTGCCGACGACAACAAACACGGGTACAACGGTTTTTGGTCTGTGCATGCAAGGCACCCGCTTATGGGGCCGTGTGTGCGCGTGGCGTGAACCCTCCCTTCCAAGCTGTCGCCCACGAGCCCCCCCCCCCTTGTGAGCAGCATCCCTATAGGTGTCCGGAAACGGCCCCTTGGCTCCCAGGCTCTTTCGAGGTGTAGACTTAGACATGCGGACACAAGGGGATCAAGTTCGCATCAGGTTCGCGGGCCATGAAGTTGACAAGGGTGGTTAGAGGACCTTTCTTTTGGCCGAACCAGGCTTCGCACAAGGCATAATACGACGCCACATGCAGTCTGGCTGCCTCCCGTGATGGCGGTATGGAGCCCCATTCTCACTCCCATTCCCATTTCGGACAACTTTGCCAAGAGAATGTCAGCCAGCTGACCTGCAGTGAACTGACTTTCCAGATCCGCAAGGGGGCCCCCTACGGGCCCCCTACGGCCGGAGGAAAGACATCTATCTTCACCTCCACACGTCCTGAAGCGGCCGCCACCCCGAAGGAGGGATGGCAGCGGCCAATCCTTACCCCCCGCCACGCCCTGTCATGTTCTTCCGGCTGCGAAAGGACGTGAACCCTATAATTAGCAGAACAGCCCACAACCTCGCAGCACACGGAGAGAAAGTCATGGACAGTCATATGCACTCACGCTGCCTGTTAAGCCACCATGCAGCCGCTAGGTCAGCCCCCTCCTGGCTCGGCGGGATGGCAGACACGCATCTCCCATATACATCGAGAGGAACGTTTTGCAAACCCCGATGGACGTCCTAACGACCAACCTAACGACCTCACAGCGGACCACAACTTAAAATTCGGCTGCAACTCCTCTCTATCTATCTAGCCCATTTATATACCCAAACAACAACCACCATCACCACCACCACCATCATCACCATCACCACCGTCATGTATACATCTGCAAACATTTTCCAAGCTGGTTCGGTCAACAAAAAGCATAATAGAAATTCAGGATGCACGCAGGCACTCATAAAAGCATCAAAGTGACAGCGCGTATACGTGCGCCACCATACGGCAAAAAACACAGGGGTTTTGTTGTCTACGTTAGCCGCCCCTTCGTAGCGAGGCCCTCAGTCACCCCCGCCTCCTGGGGCGCCTCTGTCCTCTTTCCCTTCACCACGTTTTACACAAACACCTAATTCATTCACGCGACCTCTCCGCGGCAAGAATCGCTTTTCTCAATACCGCGTCAACGCGAAATGGTGTCTGACACCGCCACCGTGACCGCCCCCAGGGCACACAGCAAATGATGCGGCCGCCGCAATGCACATGAATATGATATGCAGAGGATCTAAATATAATACCCTCTCGTAAATTCAAACACAAATTAAACTTAAAGACCAATCGCGTACTACTCCAGATATATCGAGAATGGAGGTACGGCACCATCCCCCCAGCACAGCACGATGTAAAACCCTAAGAACCCCAATCCTACAATGCACGCGCGCGCAGTCGCACTGCTCTCTCACACTCTCACACGCCTCGAATCCGAGAACGCCGCCTCAAGGAAGAGACACCACGCAAGTTATGTGGAAGATGGCACCTCCAAAACCTCTTGGGAAAAGAAATGGAGCTCTCAAACGAAAAGACAGAGGAGGCCAAAGAAGTTTTCTGCATGATGGCCCCAGGAATACATCACCCCCAACACGGCCCCCCGCAACCCCAACTTGCATCACACGGTAGCAATACCCCTGACGTCCAGATACGGCACCAGCCCTCCGTCTTCCGCAACGATGTGTGCCCCCCCCTTCCACTGAATGAGGCCCCTCCAAACTTACTTTCCCCCGCCTCCTCCTCCTCCGCCCGTCCCGAACCGATATCGTACATACACAAACGCGCCTGCGCCGCATAACAGCGACGCGGTGGCGAGAAACCCAATGTACGACGACGGCAAGGCGGCACTGCCACTACCCGCGGCCGGTCGTGCTGTGTTGGTGGCAGTGCGGCCCCCTCCCCCTCCCCCTCCCCCTGGCCCTGCTCCACGGTTGTGTGGTCCCCTTCCCGCCAGTTTGTCCCGGACCACCTGCGTGTTGAGGAAAGAGGTGCGTCTGTCTGTCTGTCTGTCTCTGTCTGTCTCTGTCTGTCTCTGTCTGTACATGATCGTGTTTCGCAAGGAGTATGTAACATGTAGGTGGCTGAGGAGAGGGAACCAAACGGACAGAGGAGGGATTTCAAAACATCTCTACGGGGTCACCGCAAAAGAGGCGAGTGGGAGTGAAATGATGGCGATGATGGCGATATCATGACCAGGATGGGCTTCAGCTGACGGTGACGACGACAGTAAAATAGTGATTGGAAGACAACCAACAACCCATAACCAACAACCAACCATGCCGACGTACTCCTATTCCATACGACACGCACCTCCCCATTCAAAAAAACGCAAGCCACTATCACCATACACACTCTATTATGCCCCAAACCCTCAACCCAACCACGCAACCAATTCACCAATCGCAACGCAAACACTCTGGTTCTCATCACCTGCATGTTCTCGTCCATGTTTCGGAGCAGCTCCTCCAGGTTTCGGAGTGAACGAGCAGTCTCCGCACTGGACGACTGGATCTGCCGTAGACAGTCCACGATAATGTCCTCCAACCGTGGCGGTTGGTACGGCACAACTGACGTCTCCCCCTTCTCCCCCTCGCCGCCGGCGACGCTCCGCAAATCCGATTCGTCTTCAATTGCATCGAAAAACACATCGCCGCCACTGCCGGCGCCACCAATGCCTGCTGCCGCGGTGGTACCGCTGGCGGCAGCAGCTGGGCGCTCGGGCTGTAGCAGCTGCTCTGCTCGCCAGTTGTCGTAGAACTGCTGACAGAAAGCGAGGAAGGTTCCAATGGATTGTGCGGCCTCAGCGGCCATAAGGCCCTCCACCGTAGCCTGTACGGGCCAGGGCAGGGCTGCGGAACACCGTACCAGCGCCTTCACCTGCGGAGACGGAATGGCACCAGGATGTACGGATGTACGAATGCGGAGGACTTCGTACTGAGTGCGATCCAGGTGTTGTTATATTGGAGGAGGTTTGGGGGGTTGTTGTGTCGAGGAGTTGTTGTGGGAGGGCGGGGGGACGGTGAAGGAAAAGACGACGATGAGTCTCTGAGGTGAGGAGAGACCCTCTCCTCCTCCCTCCCCCCCCCTCTGTCCGCCCTCTCACGCTTCCCCTCCTTCTCCTCCTCCCCCTCCCCCTCCTTCTCCTCCTCCCTCTCCCTCTCCCCCTCCCCCTCCCCCTCTCTCTCTTCCCTTCCTTCCCACTTTCCCCTCTGCATACCTGGCATGTTCCATTCGGCAAGCTCCGAACCTCCAGGAAGCCCGAGGTGGTGAACGAGTTGGCGCCGGGGAACTGAACGGTGCAGAACGGTGCGAAGGGGGTTGTGCGGGGGCGAGGAAGATTCACGGGGAGGGGGGGGGGGGACGGGGAGAGGGACGGAAATGGGAAGAACTCAAGTCGAGCGCAAACGGGCCTTTCCTTACCGAGGGAAAAGGAATCCGACCAGAATCCTGAGGGGCTATAAGCCCTAAGCTCCTTACCTCCTACCTACCGCCCGCCCTCATAACCCCCCTCCTAACCCCAGGCCGGGAGGCTTGAGCGGGAAACTGCCCCAGCAACTAATCTGTGTATGTATACGGGGTTCTCCGCACGCAACCTGCGCACCCTACATGTCGTGTCGAGAGCTGCATTATGGCCATTGTGCGGTGGGCGATCAGCTAGCGGCTGATAAGCACTGCATTGAGGACAGTTTACACCCTCCACTCCATTTGGGGCTCAATTTTCTTCCCTCTCCCTCTCGCCCCACCTTGGTCTCCGCTCCCACCTTCCCTCCCTGTCCCCAGCCCGCCCGTAACCCCCGCTGCCACCACTGTCGGGTCAACCCTCCCGCCCCCGGGGGTTCCCCCCCGGCCGGGTAATCTCCGTGATCTCCCCCTACCCAGGGTTAGGAAGTTACCGCCCAGCAGGATGCAGGCCGAGGTAGAGGCCGTCCTTGCCAATGCGATGATGCCATGCTGTGTGCGAAAAAAACACACACTTGCCCCTGGCACTAGCCAGGTTCCTTTAGGAAGTCTGTGAGACCCGGCACGCTGCTCTAAGGCGCTTCGCGCTCAAGCGGACGAGGGAGGACGATGATGGTCCACCACGTAACCGCACTAAAAACGATTTACCGGCCATGGGCCCCCTGGCTTTTACGGACAACCCCGCACTTGTGCGGAGCTTGTAACGTGTAACTTGCACGTACGTACGTACAGAGGCACATGCAGACGTACATCCCTGATTCCCCCTCCGACCCCCCGACAGCTTCCCCTCGCCCCACTGCATGTTACCTCCCCTTATCTCTGTCTTCCTCTCACATTCAGTTGCGGTTCCGAAACCACCTTGAAGGCCTTTCCCGGAGTCAACCACTCCAACTGCTGAGTCTCAACCACCGGCACGCTGTCCTTGCCTGCGTGCGCACGCGGGTATGTCGTATGTGTGTATGTATGTATGCGTGTCGGAGGGGTTCGGGGGTTGATCGGGAAGTTCAAGGGGGAAGGGTAAGAACAATCTAAACGGACTCGCCCTACTGGATGAGGAGATATGAAGTAGTGTACGGGGTCCAATAGACACACATACAAACATACACATATATATGCCCTGCATATCACTCCGTCACTATTTTGTCACACATCCGCACCCCTTCATCCTACTGCCCGCTCCAGCACCCACAAACACCACCTCACAGCATCGCCACCACCACCTTCACCATTTCGCTCACCACGACCCATCCGTAATCTCCCTTACCAATGAACTTCTTCAGCATGGCGGGCACGTTCATGGGCATCACGAACTGCACCGTCCGCACGCCCGCCTCGCTCCAGCGGCCCACCAGCGCGGCGGGGTCCCCGTTGACCTCCGCATGGAAGGTCCGTATGGCCGCATCGCCGGCGTAGAGGGCGTCGAAGTAGAGCTGCGGGAGGGGGCGGTAGGTGGGGCCGGTGGGTTGAGGGTTGAGGGTTGAGGTTGAAGGTTGAGGTTGAGGGCTGGGGGTGTGGACGGGGTTGAGGATGGGGTCGAGGATGGGGGTCGAGAGTACGGAGTGCGGTCTGAAGGGTGCTGTAGGTTGAGTGAACAAGGGATGTGTGTACGTATGTATGTGCGGTTCATTACACATTGGATGCTGGATGCGGGGGTGGGTACAGGGAGGGTTTGGGAGTGGACATCGGTACACGCGGGGGTCGTGCCAGGCAAGAGTGTGCCGCTGTAGGCTGTGGGGGTGAAAAGTCCCCCCAGGGGGCGGGAGTCGGCGGGATGTGGGTTTTGTGGTGCCGGCGATGTCAATAGAAAGGTACGCAACTGCAAGCCCAGTGGGGGGGTTCACATAACAAGGTGGCGGCAGTTCTTTGCAGCAGTTCTCTGCGGGTGAGGGACAACCCATAGTCGGTCGGCATTGGCTAAGGGGGCCCATTTGGGGTAGGAGGTTGGTGCTGGTGTTGGTGTTGGTGTTGGTAAGGAACGGTTGAGGGGGCTGCCGCGGGTGAAGGGTTGGGCGCGATGTAGAGGAGTACTGGAGCGGTATTTCGGGGCCGACTCCGAGTCCAAGGCGAAGGGAGGAAAGGTTGTGAAGTGTGTGCACGTATGCGGTGAGGGACTTCGGAAACGGCCAAAGCTCTCTGGGGCGCGCGAGGGAGAACGAGTGCCGGTGGGCGCTGGGGCCCGCGGGTGTAGTTGTTGACGAGCGAGCTAAGAGTTCATGCTGGAAAAAAATGAGTTTACAACCCGCGAAGCATAGGTGTGCCCATGCAGAATTCCGCTCAGAAATATATAATATGCGAAAATGTCTTTTGTCGTCCATCCAAGAGCTCGCACCTGCGCTGTGCAGTCAAGCACAATCTTTTCCACTTCAATCTCCTTCATCTTGTGATGATATGTGACAGATGCGAATCGGCGGTCGCCGCTACGTGAGCGTTAAAGTGCTATCGATCACTTGGTAACATTTCCTTTCATACTGAACGGCAAAAGAACCCTGATCTGCATATTGTGTCCCTCAAGATGTCAACTTGTTCTCGATGTAGATTTCTGGGGGTTCGTTAGTGCGCCTTGCAGTGCGCGCCGAAACCAAATTATGTCAGCACAATCTCTGTTTGTATAGGTCATGCCCCAACCAGTAATACTACCGCTAATGAATACTCTGTAGCATGCCATACGTAGTATATGAAGCAAATGTCCGGGTCCCTCGGCCACAAACCTCTTCACATCTCAACCGCACAACGTAGTTACCGCCCTTTGGTATCATCATATGGATTTAGGTTGTAAGGCGAGAAACATTATTGCCCGGAAACTTGCTTTGCTCAGCTCTTTACACAAACAACCAATGTTCACACAAAGAGGTTCGCGAGGGAAACTATGACGGCGGTCGTGTTGGCGAGACGAGCTATCTAACCCTCCACAAAAATAAAGCCGCCAAGCCCACCCCGAAGCAACGGCAAGACGGAAGAGAATTTCAGGCGGCCGAAGCACTCGGATTTTCCACTTGCTAGCCATAAACGCAACCGCCAAGCTTTGCGGCCCGAAAACGAGCCGCTGCGCAGCGACATAGGGCCGACAGATGCACACACACCAGCTCAAATATTTAAAGCACTCCAAGACTTACACACACCGACTGGCCTAGATTGTTAAGCTGAGACCGTTATCCTTTGATCCACACACATACAATATGTGCTTATTTTCATACAAACGCAAGGACACGCCTGCGGTTCAGCAGCGCCCGCAACAACTACTCGGAGACTGGACATGGAAACCCTCGTCCACATACACAGTCAATATCGTCATTCAGGCAGTTACCCTGCAGCAACAGCTATAGGGTCCCAGGCCGGGCCACCGTACCCTCCGGACGAGGCAGCATCAACAGGTGCCACGACGTCGCCAACAAGCAAGCAATCCCGTTCGCACAAACGGTAGTGATGACCTGGACCTCCCGCTGCAGCGGTCGCCTCGAGAAACTGACGTCGCTGCTGCTGCAGGACTGTTGCCGCTGCCGCCACGGCCGCCTACTTCATCACCAGAGATAATCCATTAGTGCCCGCGGAATACCGCCGCACGACCTGTGTCCCCTGGTCAACTCCCTCGGTGGTACAGCCTCCATCGTTGCCAGCTGGGGAGTGTCCTAACCACGCAAGTATCCGTACACAAAGTAAAGGACAGCATTCCGGACCGCGTCCTGATCTGAATGGAATTTCTGCCCTCACGTATTTTTCTTCCCACCGTACACCTTTCTGGCATGATAAGAATGCAGGGAAGCGTCCCCCCATGCACTTGTCGGGGGCTTCCCTCTGTACCGACACGCTACCCTCAGAAACACAGGGCGCAGCCCCGCCGCCGCTGCTGCTGCTGCTAGCACGTGCCAAAGCCCACATCACTTTCCAGCTTAACCCTTCCACACATCCTTGATGCAGCATTAGAACCATTAGGGCTGAATGAGCAGGAGCTGCAGCTGCTGTTACTGTTACTGTTGCTGGTGAGCCTCCCAGGGACGGAAGGGGCAGGCCACCCACGCGGCTCTGAACAGACAGGCGCGGGTTGTTCAGGGAATGCATGATACAACCTCAACGGTTCAGAGTTTCCCACGGGCTGTTGAAGTCAAAATACCTGCGAGAGAGCGAAGGAGTGGGAGAGAAGAAGACGGGTGGGAAATGGGCATGGCATGCGAAGAGTGCTATCGCCATCGAATGCAGCTAATCCTCTGATGGCCTGATCTGGGTTAGGATCCAGCTTCACTTACATGTTGTGGATCACCCCGGAGGCTCGTGCACAAGGGCAACAGCACAAGGACGCACACAATGCGAGCCAGCCCGCGGAACTCTTCGATACGGTCTACTAGGCCACCGGGCAGCTTGAAGCGCCAATCAATCTTCCTTTTTTCAGTTACCCTAGTCACAGGGTGTCACAGCGGCTTCCGAAATCCCAGGACCAACCTGAACTCCTGTGTCAGCTCCAGCGGCTCCGAAACTACGCGCTTCTTCCCGTAGTCGTACCGCACCTCAGTGTAGCCACTGAGGGGGAAGTCCTTGCGCAGCGGGTGGCCGGTGAAGCCGTAGTCAGACAGGATACGGCGGAGGTCGGGATGGCCCGAGAAGAAAACGCCAAACATGTCCCAAGTCTCCCGCTCAAACCAGTTTGCCGTATTGAAGATCTTCCAGATGGATGGTACCGGTGTGACTTCGTCCACGCACACCTTGACGCGGATGCGATTGTTCCACCGTGGGCTGAGTAGGTGGTACACGACCTCAAAGCGCGCAGCGCGCTCCGGAAAGTCGACAGCGGTAATGTCGATTAGACACTTAAACTGGGTTTGGACATGGTCGCGGAGAAAAGTCATGAGAGGCAGCAGGCTGTCGGGCGTCGTGTATATGGTTGGCTCTTGGTACAGCAAGGTGCTCTGTCCTGGGCCAACGACAGCCATTTTTACAAACTTTGGCACAGTCTTAATGATGTAGTCTGTAAGCTGCGTTTGTCCGAAAGCCAGCGTGTGCGCCGTGTGTACATAGTCCTTGTCCGCGGTCTTTCGCGCGTAAGCGTAGCCCATTCCACGGGTTTGCTGCAGTTGAACACCAGCTGTGTTGCTCGTGCTCGGCAAGTTCGCAGCCTCTGCAAGGATGCTTAAGCCTACTTCAGTCTGTGAGCCCAGAGCGCGAGCAGAAAAGGAACGCAAACCTTCCATTAATCCCTGCTGCAGGCAGCCCTTCACGGGCGCCTGCAGCTTGGAAAGCAGGGATTGTGTGCTCTTCATAGAAGACCTCAACTAAGGGGACGACGCCCTAACGCTGTTCCGTAACCCTGTAACAAATAATTAGCAGCTGCTGTATCCGTTTGAAGGATCGCTTAACTAAATTGAACTTACGTCGTGCACCGTGCTCCATACACCTAATGTCGTGCATTCACAACCTTCCGGCCAACGTATTGGGGAATCAGTTACTCTATTGCGTATAATGCAGATTAACAGAATCGTAGTTAATTCAAAGTCAATCACCCTTTCACGCAACCCGGTCCGGGTTCGAACTGCATCTTTACCTTCAAGGTGGGCACAACGCAGCACTGATAGGATGGCCGCACAAGAGGTCCTGGAGTTGAACCAGAAATTACTCTCAGCAATTGGTGCTGGGGACTATGCGACATATGAGGTGCGGACGGGATGATCGGCCGTTGTGCTTTGGGTTTGCAAGCCCTGGCCTGGCCTGGCAGCTTAAAAACCTGCGGATCTAGGCTATATGAGCTGCTAAAAGGAGAATGGGTGGGAATTTTTCTACTTCGAAATAGCTCTCAAAGAGATGGCTTGTACGCTTACCAAAGCTGGTTCGTGCCTCCCATGAATCCTTCTTGGGGTAAAGAGCGTCCCCGCCTGCTAACCCCCAAGGCCGCGAGTCCCCAACGTCCTGCGCATTTCCGAGCCGACTGTTCCACCGGCCCAGAGCCCTTTGCCTGCGTGGCCCGCCATCCTAAGTCCCTTGGCAGGAACACCAGCACCGTGCTTCCTGCCTGCCTGCCTGACAGCCGTGCCTCCCTTCAAAACATTACACATCGTCGCTTATTGCCGTAATCCTCACTCTTTCATACTGTTCCACCCGCACTCTCGTCTAAACCGCTCCTCCTCCTATGCCATGGTTACGTGTCTCCAGACACAACATAACTAACCATGAATGCCCTTGGTACATTCTTATGTCCTTTCTCCCCCGTCGCTCGACCTCCCTCCGCCTCCCAAATCATTTATTAACAGCCATCCGCCATCCCTAGAGTTATTCCTTCCTTCCACCCGTCCTCCAATCGTTACTGCTCATCTCCGCGAGGATCCGTTCCTTGCATGGAAGCACCCGTATTTGTGTTTCCACCCTCCGCCTCCCCCTCATCGCCGCTTCATCGCCGCTTGTTACTACGCCACCCGCACACAGGCCCTCTGCGACCCCAGCCTCACCTGCTTCGAGCCCGAGGCTGTGGGGCACCTGGTGGAGGGTCTGGACTTCCACAAGTATTACTTCACAATGCCAAGTCCCGCCGCCGCGCCCGCCACAGACGTGCCCAAGCCCCACGTGCTCAACACCATGGCCTCCCCACACGTAAGTGCGACCTTCGCGCCCTGCATGCCTGCATGCCCGTTTCGTTATGAGATGTTACATACATATATGCACGCACGATATGTGGCATCGGTTTGTAACATAGGTCGCCCTGCAACGGTTTTCCACCAATCATGTCGTGCACATGGATGCCATGAGGCCGCGGCATACATACATACATACAGTAATTTATGGAACTCTGGCAGATCAGTTTGACATCAAAGGATCATCAGCACCGCCGCCGCAAATCGCCTTGTGATCTCCTTATTCCGGCTTAATCGCTATCTAGCATTTTGCCTTCCTGTCCGTCTACTTGGTGTAGCATACCCGCAATCAGTTTGACCTTACTGCCCTTCGACGAACTAACCCTATCACAGTCACAGCTGTCCAAGACCTTTTGAAACACCGCACATTGAACATCACCCTTCCCGCAGGTACGCGTTATCGGCGACACGTGCGCGGTGGTGTCGTACATCCGTCTGACCCAGAAGCTGGTGGGCGGCGCGCCCGTGACGGTGCAGGCGGAGGAGACCCGTGTGTGGGAGAAGAAGGGGGATGGGCGCTGGGTGCATGTACACATGCACCGCTCGCTGATCAAGCCGTGAGGGCTTTGTCGGGTTTTAGGGTAAGCTCCCCGATCCCGCCATTCCAGATCACTTCGTGAGGTGTTCCGAGAGGTGAGCCGCCGCTGCTACTACCGCTACTGCAGCCTGCTGTTACTGCTATTGTTGCTGATTTGCTGCTGGTGCTGTGTCTGTGGGATGGGAGGATATGTAGGGAGAGTAGGGCGGACTAGGTATGCTGTTATGCTGTCAGCCAGAAGTGATGCTGGGAAGCCCTGCTGGTTGGCTGGGTAGTGGTTACTAAAACCTTTTTTAATAACTTGTGAACATGTAATGGTTAGGCAGTTGCTGTAAAGATTACAGCGGCAAAAGCGGTGCGCGGCAACTTTTTGTCATGGTGTTGTGTGGCGATGTCACGTGCGACAAGAAAATGTCCCAAAACGTGTTCTGGGCCGGATGGACGGAAGGGGGAGGCATTGTGCTAATACAAGGGCATTTAGCTGTACAAGATATGGGAACTGATGTATCGCAAGACTTTGTTTGCTAACAGTACTGCCTGGTAGGATATGTTTGTATATTTGCAAGCTATACCACTGCATGCACACGGTTTGTGGTGCAAAGTGTACGCCGAGGCCGAGAAAGGTATTAGTAAAGTGTACCAATGCCGAAAAGGTATGAAGAGATGAGCGTGCGATTGTACGTGTAGGCTCTGTGTGCGTATCGTAAGGGCCGGGCTAGATGCGGCTGCGGCTGCGGCCGGGCACAACTATATGGCTCTGGGGCTTTGAACCGAATGTAACAACAACGGCTTTTATGGACACCCCCGCACAAAGGTGCGGAACTCGTAACCTGGGATGGTGTTTGTTGTAGTAGGCAAAACACCGGATAGTCCATGTCTCATTTATTGCGAAATAAATCGTTCGGTCGGTGTGACGAGAGCGCGAGTGAGGGAGGTGGAACCCGTGAAGATTCTTATGGTCTGAAAGGTTTACCGTGGAAGCTGGAACGTTTTGTATGAATCCCGGTGCCGTTGCGTAATACACGTTCAGAGAAAGCAACCTGAGCACGATTTCTTACACTTAAGTAGGTGGATAACCAACACAGCTCTGAGCAGGAGCTTTAGGGAGACATTAACGGACAAGTCGTTCAGATCAGTTCAGATCGTACGACTTCTTTCAAAACCAGTTCGTAAGATGGCTGACTTGACGTAACTGGAACTGACACTTTTCCACAACAGAAGGTTATGTTCCACCAGACATAAGCTAATAGCCTTGCACTCATTACCTTTGACCGTCCTACGGACCGTTTCTCTTATCTACAGTCCAGGTAAAGCCCAAGACGCACCAAGACGCGCGCCGTACCGCGTCCCGGACGGAAGCAGGCAACCAGAGTTGCTCCTTGCCCTGCACCTGTAGTTCCGACCGGGAGACCCTGCCTAGATAGGTCCGGCCCGTGAGAAGTGGTTAGGATCCAAACGCACGAGGGCGATAGCCAGCTGGAAGGGATGGAGCGCGTTAGTTTTGTACGGCTCGACGGGAAAATCCTTTTGGGTCGCAGGTTTGAACCAGGGGTCGGCAAACGCCGCTGGTACAGCGGGTCCTTCCGTTGTACCCGTTGCAGAAAATCATCATCGCTGGTACGGCAGCCGTACGGCAGGGTGCAGGAATCCCCCCCCCAAAGGCAGGTTTGCGCAGTAATTGGGCGCAACAAGACAACTGTGGCTTTAACAGCGATGGTGTAACGTAGTAAGTTTGGTACATCGGCCCGCAGACACTCTTTCCTCGGCTTTTACCAAAAAAAATTTCCATACAGTTATTCGACCCTGGCACCAGTACCCGTGACAGTTATTCAGGGTTTGCCGACCTCTGGTTAAGCAGCCCCTCGCACAAATGTGTCCGGTCGTACTTCGCCAATAAAGTGTTCGTACATCGTCCCAAAAAAGCCAGGAGCGAATTTTGCCGCGCAGATGCGCGCGTGCGATTCACAAAATGCGCCTGTACAAGTGTATATAAATTTCTTGAAGGTGCGCCAGCGCATTGCGCAGGTGGTCTTGTTGGCCATAGTCGCACCCGGCATGCAGGCTGGACTATTGCGTGGCTGCTTTGCAGTATCTGAAAGCACCGAAAGCCTACGTCGTAGCTTGCAACACTGGGCTCGTGAAACTGCCGCGGAAGATGAAGCGGTCGGCGAAGAATCAGCCATAAGGCGCCTGCTTTCGGTAGCGCAGCGCATAATGCACATTGTTCCCACTAAACTCAAGTTACACTCTTACGAAATAAATAATAACAACGCAGAATTAGGTAAAGAGAAGAATCGCGAAAGTCGTTCAGAACCTTGCAAGTAAAATGGATGCCGCTGAGGGCTTGGAACAGCTTTTCGCAGCGCATTCGGCCGTGCCTGCGTTAGCCGTGTTGCAGCAACTACGGAAGGACTTGAGCCAGCAGCAAGCTCAAATTCTGTTTAAGAAC